TCTCAAAAGTCACCAACTGTGAAAATCAGCATTATCTCAGCCATCATAGGTCTTGTCCTCCGACAGCCTGTTGATGGCTTTTTTGGCACTTCCTCCCCAATGATTTAAGGTGGTCCTAACTGAGATAAGGCCACAGGAAAGGACAACACCCCTTTCTCCATCTCATTGTTTCTGAAGGGAAATGATACATGCTATGATTACACATGGATATGACGGTTACGTTCCAACTTGGTGAGGCCAAGGTACCCAGTTTTTGGTCAAACACCAGCTTATATGTTGTTGTGAAGGTATTTTTAAGATATAATTAACATTTAAATCAGTAGACTTTGAGTAAAGCAGATCACCCTCCATAATATGAATGGGCCTCATCCAATCAGCTGAAGGCCTTAAGAGAAAAAGACTGACTCCATTGATAAGATTGTATCATATATAAGGGGGAAAAAAAAAAGAAAAAGGCTGAGGTTCCTTAAGGAAGAAGGAATTCTGCCTTCAGACTTTCTTCAAACTTGGTACTGCAACATCAACTCTTCCCCAGTCTCCAGCCTGACAGCTTGCCCTGATAATTTCAGACTTGCCAGCCCTCACAACTACACGAGCCAATACCTTAAAATAAATCTATCTCTACATATAATACACGTCCTGTTGGTTCTGTTTCTCTGGAGAACCTTGACTAATACAATGGACTATTCTGAAAGGCTACAAAAGAAATTGATCAAAATGGTTACCTCTGGGGACTAGAATGGAGTGGGAGAAAGACATTTTATATCATCTGTATCTTTAAATTATTTTAACATTTGTTATAAGTAGTACATTTATATCATTCAAGCATCAAAATTCTATTTTAAAAGGCACATAATGAGACATTTCCTTCTTACTCACATCCCTGTCCACCCCAAGCCCCACAGATGACCCCTTTATTCATTCATGTATTTGTAGTACTATTTATGTAGATATATAAATCTATCTCTTTTTGTCTTCTCCTTATTATTATTATTCTGTACCTTGCTTTTTCACTTAACAATATAGCCTACATATCTTTCCTTACCAGTATATAGACAGCTTCCTCATTCTTTCTTTTGTAGCTACATGGTATTTTACTAAGCGAATTTACCATAATTTATGTAACCATTCTCTGTAGTTAGACATGGTTGTTTCCGAGATTTTGCTGTGAGGAATTAACCTTGTACATGAGTCATTTCACATGTATACAGGTGTAGCCACAGGACATGGTCCCAGAAGTGGAACTGCACTGTCAAAGGAATAATTCATTTACCATTTTGATATATGACACCATTGTTCTGTAGGGGGATTATATTATTTTTGCCCTCCCACCAGCAATATATATCTTTTTTGAACCTCTGAACTATTTTTACCATGTAGTATGAACATTCCTATTAAAAATTAACTTCAAAAGTATGAAATAAATCACCACTCCAGAGACGTCTGTTAAGTATACAATTTTAACTCTCAATTTTTTTAATACTTAAAAGTTTAGTTCATCCTAAATGTATTTTGGAGTTGAGAACCAAATATGCTTCACTCTAAATTTTGGAAAAGGAAACACTTATTATGTGCATAAAATCCATGGGCACAAATGGCTTCCTAATATTTGTTGCTAGCTTCCTTGTGAGTAAAAGAAAAGCAGGCCCTACTCCCTGGGAGCTGGCTGGTACTACCGGTCAGGCCTCAGTGTTGCTAGAAGCTGGCCTGGCATTCAGGGCTATGCCTGGTGTTCTCCTATTGAATATAACTTCATAAAACATAAACATCAAACAAGGCCAACTCTGTGACCATGATGAATTGTGACAAAAACAAGACCATTCTGTAATCACACCTGAAAACAAGCAAAAACATGAATGTTGTCTAACCACAAAAATGACCAAACATCCCCCTAATCTGGATAATATCAATGATTATGTTTCTTTACCAATTATAGCATTAGTATCTCTGGTCTTCCCTCCTAGATAATAATATAGCCTAATAAAATAGCCAATCATAAAATTACTTCTACTTCCTGACAGCATCCCATTTAGGGGACAGTCCTGTTTCCTCAAGTCCTCCCTGCCACGAACCTAAATCCTCTAACTCCTCTCTAACACCCTCTTACTGAGCTGGCCCATGGTTCCCTATTGTGTGTGTTCTCCCTTATTGCAAGCAGTCAACCCAACTTGTTCAACTGCAGGTGTGTTCCTGGTGGTCTCTGCCTAATGGGCATTGCTTCCTTTGAAAACAGTTCCCGTGCACTCGCTATGTGCCAATGACCCTGTCTTCAAGGAGCTTACCTTCTGGAATATTAGAACTGAACGCTGGCTATTCATTAAATCAATGAATTCTCCTTAGATATAAGAGAATGAGGGCTCTGAAGTCAACCATCAGGATCACAGCCAGGGCTAGATCTCCTGAGGTGGCAATCAGGGTTCTTTCTTCCATTCTACAAAGCTCTCCCCTTGTTCCACATTGATTTCTGAACCATTTCCCAGTTAATTTCCTAATTATGACATAATACACATTTTTGTTACTTTTTGGACTCACTTTCCATGAGGCACTGCTCCTTTGTCCTCTAACATTTTACCCTCATTGGGGAATCTGTCATACGAACATAAACACTGAGTGAAGGATATGTTCTGAGAAATGTTAACAGCTCATGCTGTTGTGTAATTTTGTGCAAGACTGCAAGGGAATGAGAAATGAGTTGCAGATTTGGAGTCCAGGTTTCATTTCTCCTTAGGCATTAAAAGAAAATGTAAAGTATGAAAAGGTCAATGAAGATTTTAGGGAGAGAACCTATCTTAGCAATTGCCAGTCACTTTCCTTTCTGGTAACAGACATTAAGTTGCTCAGGGAGACAATTTGAACTATCCTGTTTAATTATGCAGATGTAAGTAGAACTTATTATTCTGGGGCAGGGGGAGGATATATTAAAAATGACTGGGCATTCCTTGCTTGATGAAGACAACTAGTTCCTACAACCAACTGGGAAGGTGGATGGGGTGGAAGAGAGGGAAGATTTGTATAAGGTCCAAAGGATTTCCCGAGGAGGAACTGAATGTCCAATATCTTCTCTTTTGAAGTTCAGTATTATTAGAGCTTCCCCAATGATTTAAGGTGGTCCTAACTGAGATAAGGCCACAGGAAAGGACAACACCCCTTTCTCCATCTCATTGTTTCTGAAGGGAAACTCTCCAGCGGGCTTGGGGGAAGTGGTCGGGTCCTGCCATAATCATTTTAGAAGCAGCTACATTTGGGCATGGTGTGCTGCTGATTCTGCAACTTAGACCAAGCCTTGCCCTGTGGGCATGCTATGGAAGGAAATGCTGCCCATGCATATGTGTGGGTGGCTTAGGAGCTGTAATAAGTGCAGGTGGGAAGGAAAGGGGTGGAGTGGGCTGCTTAATTTTGGCATGGAGCACTCTTGGCTGCCAGTGCATTTTCTCTAGAAGAAATATCTCAGCCTAGGGCAGGAATCTGGGGTGACCAGGTAATGGGGCATATCCCAAGAATATTCTTTGGGATTGCTGGGTTTTCAGCGAGTAGTAAACCAAGGCACTGGGTCTGTTTGTGCCCACAGTGGCCTAACCTGCAGCAGACAATGACAGGTCAAGAGCAGCCAGGGCTGGCCCTTTTAGCTGACTAAGCACTAGGCTTCTGGGGACATAGCACATGAGGAAGGTCTCTAGAGAAGAGGGAAAGGCATTCTCAAAATATCACACAATAGAGGCTTAGAGTCACAAACATTCTAACACCAAACAGAGAAGCAACCTTATGTTTTAACCAATGCTGGTGCAATATAACATACCAGCTACCTAAAAAGAAAAGCTGTGATACCCTGCCTCTAGGATCCTACACTGCACAATAACTCTGTGAGCCATGTATTACCATGCCCAAGTGAAAGATAGGGAAATTGAAGCTCAGAAAGATTGAATAATGTGTCCATCATCCCATCCCTGGAAATGTTCCAGCCACCCCAAGCTGTTTTTTTTTTTTTAAATAAATATTAAACTCCAAAGGGGCAGGTACATTTTTGTATCTGTCCATAGTCAGATGTCTCACATCATAGAACAGGTCAATTACTTCCTTGGCTTTGGGTTTTATTAATGAAGCTGAAGTACTATTAGTGAGACGTCCCATGTGGCCCTTAGGCCACGTGAGGCCCAGCCCCTGTTTCTGCTCTTTCCATTGGGGGACTCCTGGCACTGCCCTTCAGTGCAGTCGGTGCTGCGCTCTGTGCTTGGGGGGAATAGAGAGGCAGCAGCTCTGAACACCTGCCCCTGCTCAGGCCATGGGCTGTCTCTGCAGCCAAGTCACCCCCACCTTTGGAAGCCTCAGGGGAGGTTCTGCAATGGGCGTTCAGATGGGAAATGTTCGTGACTTTCCTCGTCAGGGCACTGGCACACCCCGACTTCCCTCAACAACGGCTTCCCGTGGAGCATTCCCTCATTCTCTCACGCAGAGCGGACCCTTGTGCCATGCCTCTGAGGGAAAAGTAGAAGGAATGAAGAATAAAAATGGCCTGTCCCTGAGAGAATATTAAGATTCACGTAGAATCAGCTTGCTTACTTAAGTTCCAAGGCCCCTGGAGACCACATGGAAGCAATCAATGTTCCTCTTCCCAGCCGTCCTTCTGCTCCATTCTCTATCTTTTGTTTATGTTATTTTTACTATTTAAGTGGGGAGGGAGAGGATGTGACTTCATCTTTTTTTCCTTCTAGATTAGAATTGCCTTAAGTTTATTTCACCTAATTCTTGGAAGGCTACTTTTCGGTTAACTGGGTTTTCCTAGTGTTTGGTTTCCAGAACTCAGCCCTGCCTTCTGGAAACGGACCTCAAGTCCTGAAATTCCCCTTCTTGTCCCCCTGCCTTCCATCTCGCCCACTCCTTCCTCCTGGCTCTACCAGTTCTCGCCCACCTTGACCTCTGCTCCTCTGTTTCCCCAGCTTAGGTGCCCCCTGGATTCACACACTTCTGGGCCAACTTTTCCAACTCACCAGCACCCCCTAGAAACCCACAGTGGTGAGCTTTCTGTACCTGCCCTTCCAAACACCCTCTCACACAAACAGAAACACAACCATCTTTATAACCTGACTTGGGATGACGAATGTTGCTGAGTTTGCTTATTCATGTTCAATGGGTCTATAACAAATCGAAGGCACCTAACCTGGGCTGGGGAAAAGCCTCTCTTGGTGCAGCTCCACATAGCAGCTATTCCAGACCTTCCCTTTCTCAGCTCCAACTCCACTCTCCTACCTGCCCCTCTCTGGATGGAGATTCTCTACAGTACCGTTCTTAGAATGCGCCCCCTCTACCATCGCTCTTAGCAACCTTTTCTTCAGAAGAAGTAACTTCTCTCTCACCTCCTCTCTGCACTTTTGATAATCCCATTCCTTGGTGAATCTCCTCCAAGATTTGCACCCACCATACTCATCCTTTCCCTACTTCTAACTCCTCTACATCCATAAATCTGTTTGCATTTCCTCATCCCTAAAAAATAAGTTTCTGGATTTTGTTTATTCCTAAAGTTCCTTCCCATGCCTCAAGTTCCCTTCAGAGTGTATTGTTAATATTTGGGTTAACAGATTTTCCAAGTCCTTTACATTCCTCAATTCTTCTATTCTGATTTTATTCACCATTTTGTATATACGTTTTGTTAAATCAAATCTAGCTCAGATGCTTTCTGGGAGAGGGCAGAGTTTTAAAATCTTATTCCTTCCCTCATCCCTTTAGTAAAGCTGATTTTCTCAAAAGTCACCAACTGTGAAAATCAGCATTATCTCAGCCATCATAGGTCTTGTCCTCCGACAGCCTGTTGATGGCTTTTTTGGCACTTCCTCAATGACTCATCCTGTGGTCTGGATGAATCACTGAGCTTCTCTGGGCCTCAGGTGCCTCACGGCACCATCCAGGGCCTCCTGCGAGCCAACACAATACCTTACCAGTAATTACAGCCACTCTGGCTGCTCACTGTTCCTGAAGCAGTGGGTGTGGAACACCCATGAGCAGAGAACTGGGTCAGGTACTGGGTCCTGGGAAACTAATACTGAAGGAGGAAGCAGAAGTGGTCCTGGAAAGAGGCCAAGGAGAAATGGCAGAGAGGTGGAAGCAATCTTATCAAATGCAAACCTGATCACGTCACCAAGCTGTGTGAAATCCTTCCCATGTCTCTCCCCGTAGGTTCTGGAATAAATTCAAACTCCTTATGGCTGCCTGGGAGCTTCATTTTGTGCCACTCTCTAGAATGCACTCTCTGTTCCAGCCATTGTTCTGGTATCTGTGGCAGCATCCATCTTGACTCTGTGCTCACACTGCTGCTTTCTTTTTTAAAATAAGAGTGATGAAAAAGGTGTGCCCTGTGGAGAAGCATCTAAGGTTGGGGTTGGAGAAGGCTTCCCAGGGGCCATGGTTAAACTGGGTGTTGAGGGAGGCAGAAGAGTCCATTACAGGAGGAAGGGGAATTGGCATTCTACCAGAGGTAACCCATGCACAGACCTGAAGAGCAGGGGGATGCTGTGATGAGGTCAAAGTAGACAGGGCAGAGAAAAAGAAGGACAATGCAATCGGGTCACTGGGGATCTCTGACAGAGATTCTGCAATGGGGACAGGGGGACAGGGCTGCTGAGATGCAGGAGGCCCAGGCTCTGCCTCAAGAGTGCTCAGGTGGTGGAGAGTAAACCAAAAAATCCTAACACAGACATTTGGTGAGCATCTGAGCTGGGATGTCTGTGTTGAACAGGAACTCAACAGGCAGGGGAGGAATTCCTGACAGGAGGAATGAAAAAGCAAGACTTATCCTTTGCTTAATGGCAAGGCAGGAGATGAGAAGGAAGAAGCCGGAGGGGGTGGGTCACTGGGTCACAGAAAGTCCCAGGCATAAGATAAAGTGCTTGGACTTCATTGTGAGGCCACTGATTCCTGAAGTGTGGCAGGGGCAGCCCCAGTGACTCCAGAGGGTAACAGAACATATGTGAATAGCTATGTATGTATTGAAAGGGTGTAGTAATAAATACAACCAGCATATATTACACTTCTGATCTCACAGATATTACCGCTTAGAAAAAGGCTAAGTTAAAAAAAATGATGGTTTGATTTAAATCCTTTAAAGACAAGTATTAAGCAAACGGGAGCACAGATGGTAGACAGGTCTAGGGATATTTGTGAAGGAAAGCAGGTGTGGGAACAGTCGAAGCTTGAGAAGCACTCTGTAGACACTGGGAAGCAATGCCCACAGCTCCAACAGGGACAAGGCACGGCCAGATCTGTGGCTGAGAAAGATTGCTATGGAGCCAAGTAGGGAGAACCAGGAAGAGATAGGACCAAGTAGAAACAATGACTTTGTTGTTATGGCTACAAAATCGATCCAAGCAGGAGATGATCAAAGCCAGACCCCAGGCGTGGCAGAGGGCATGGGGAGAAACCTGCCATATACACTTCACCAGGCACAAAACCAACCTATCCAGTAACAGTTAATAACAAAACCTGGCACTTGCACTTTGCTTACGTTTTCCGTTTAATGACAAATTTGGGCTTAATCAGATTTCTTCATAAACCTCTAAGGTCTTTATCTTCAACACAAGTCTCCTTTAGGGATTCACTCCAAAGGAGTCACCATGTTCAAGTTACAAGTTCCCATTTAGCAGATAAAGTCGTCATCTCTAAAGAAGAAATTCATAGAGGGTAAATGATACAGGTTCTCGGAAGGCAGCACTTTACTCAGAAGCAACAAAGCACCGCAGGCTGATGAAGTAATAGCAGCAGCAGCAACAACTTTCACTTACTGTATGAACCAGCTCATTTATTCTCATTATAACCCTACCAGGTAGGCACTATTATGATCATTCGTATTTAACGGAGGGAGAAACACATGCTTGCACAGATTAACTCAGTCAAGGTCACATGGCACGTTAGGGGTGCACCCAGCTCAACTCACAGTCTTAATATGCTTTACCACTTCCTTTAGGGCCAGTCCCACTGACCTGGTGTTGCTAGTTCATAAAAGCCTGTCAGTGACAAAGCCACAGGGCTTAAGGGATAGAAAACCTAATGAAAAATCTAAGAATTGATGCTTGCAACAAAACATTATTCGACAGATATACCATTCATATACCAGATACCATTCACACCTCAGGTGTATGGACTTTAGGTGTAATTACAATCTATTTTATTGAACAAGAGTCACTAGTAGTTATGGTGGGATTTAATTTACTGTTGCTTCCCCCACAACACTTTTTTTTTTAAACATAGCCGTGAGATAAAGTTTAAAAAGCACACATTTCTAAGTTAAAGACCTGAATTCCCAAGCTGGAGGGAACTAGCTGGAGGCTTTGGGAAAGTTCCTTAATCTGTCTGAGCTTCTAAAATGAAGGTAAGAAAACCTAGCTCCTCTTACCCGTGACAGGAGTATTAAATGTACAAGGAAGTTCATTCTACTTTTGGACAGATTTTATAGAAAGTTCCTTCTATGTGATGATCTAAAATCTTGCCACCACATAAACCAACAAACTTGACCAATATTACCCAGAAGCAGTTAAGTCATTATTGTTTTGTCAAAGGCTGCTTGACTGGTAGGAAAAGAAATTAGGTGTATGCACAGGAGAATATAACGCCTAAACTACTCACTTGACTTAAAATTTATAAGCAGGAACCATTCAACAATTTAATAGTGATTACATTAAAAACACACTGCAGAGTATATTGTGGTAGAGAGATTGGGAAGTACTGACAGAGGGTATGTTAAGGAAAGGGAAGAAGAAAGGATGTGGCCTAGAAAGTACTGAAATCCATGTGTCTGCAGGCCCATCGAGTACTTGCATTGTCGATTATAAATGGAAGCATTCAAATGCACTTCTGTCAAAAACCTCTGGAAGCTTCATTCTGAATACAGCTACAGAGACCTTCAGATGGCAGACTAGAAGCAGCCGCTGAGCACGCCACTCTCAAGGAAAGGAGTGCAAATCGCAGGCAGAGGCCTACCTATGGATAGTTCTCGGAAGCAACACTATGAAATCACAGAGAAGCAAGGCAGGACACTAACAGTGAAGGAGAAGGTAACCCGGCGATACATTCGACAAGATTGAAGGGATCTATGGGGAGGCATGCACACGTGGGGAAGATTAGGAGGATAGAGCGCCGGGGCACTGCGCTCACCCCACAGGTGCTGTGGCGGAGTTGTGACAGGGCTCCCCCCCCACCACCACAGGCCTCTGTCTGGACAGAATGGACCCAGGGAGCTGCCTAGAGTCTGTGCAGAGTCATTGCACCAGAGAACACATGCAGTAAGGATCTGCTGGCAGCCAATCCCGGGTTTCCTCAGCTGACGCCATCCCCAGGTCTGCACTGGACTCAGCTTTGCAGCAGTAGCCTTCATATCACCCCCACGGAGCGGGGAAGGGAGTGGGCTGAGCAAAGCCTCCTCTGAGCCGTACCCTGTGACTGGAAGCCAAGCACACCTCCCCTACAGCACAGCAGGATCTGGGCAGAGGAGTTGCTGTGGGCGCTACAGGCCCCAACCTGGGAAACTGGGTGACTGCTTCAGCAGGACCCGGTGGGGGCGGGGAGGATGGGAGAATGCCACAGTCTGCTGGAACGGACCCCCTCCTGCACTGGCATCCGCGGTCCCTGAGCCTGCAGTCCCGGAGCCTGCGGAACAGCCTGCTGCCTGTGCAGACCTGTCTCTGTCCCTAGGTGGAAACAGCCAGCCACTCATAGGGCCCTGCTTCCAGCTCTAACGTTCTTCTTCTGGCTCTTTTGCAGTCCCGGTTCTGAGGCTCTGGTGTGGGAGCCTGAGGTCCCTCCCCTGTACCCCCAGAGCTCTCCCCAGGCACAGGACACTATCCCCATGATTCTGGTGCTGCACCTGGACCCCAAGAACCCACCCCTGAGTCTTCACCACTGCTGCAGAACCGGTGGAACTGCCCCAGTGTCCAGTGCCCCACCAGGGACCGTCCGGCCTCAAGCTGCCGGGACTTGGTTCAAGCAAACACACACAGCCTGGGAACCCATGACCCCTGCCTAGATAGCTTTACCCAGCTGCCATGTCACCTTGTGAGGAGACCTGGGCAGAGCAATCCCCACAATGCCAGCCTCCGTGGAGAGGGTCTCACCCTGCCCTAACTCGAACTTGCGACCTGGGGAATAACCCAACAGCCAGCACAAAGATCATCCAGCACAGGCTTGAACAGTGGCAATCACAGGTGAGCAGGACAAATCAGAACAGCTGCACTACAGACTATTTGTACACATGTCCCTCCCTTGCCGCATTTACAATCCAGAGTAGGAAAAAAGCGCCATCTAGGGATCGCCCATTCTTCTAATTAAGCAGGTGAGTTCCCAGCAAAGAGCAGTTGCCCTGCAATCCTATAAGCCCTGGGACAACAAAAATAGGTTTCAGATAAGAAACCAGCAAAAGAACCCTAGCAACATGAAACAAACAAACAAGCAAACAAACAAACAATTCGACGCCCCCAAAGGATCACAATGGAGCTACA